CTGGCGGGGCGTGGGAGGGAGGGAGCAGGGTGCAGAGCTCGGGGGAGAGTAGCGGGGAGGGTGTCAGTGGTGCAGGTGTTTCGCCTGAATATCTCCCTGTGAGTGATAGCAAGGAACGTACAATGCTGAAACAAGTGTCCCAAATGTACTTGAAATTAAGCTGTTGAACCGAACTTTTCCTTTGACGATACCTAATAATATAAAAGAGCCTTACTGCGGTGGGACACTGACAAATACGCAGTGTTTGGTGGTTTTACCTTCATCGTTAAAACAAAAGCATGTCAGATTATCTGTGGAGTGAGAAGGCAAGATGTCTTTCATCCACTGTTACCTGATTTTGAAAAAAAATGCTGAACGTAATAGAGTCACAGAGAGAGGGTGTGAAGGGAGCGTACCGTCCCTGAGTGATCTCAGAGATGTGTTCATGCTATAGAAAATGTATCTTTACTACATTAAACATGGTAACATTCATTTAGGGTTAAATTCTGATGGAATCTGCTTATTAATTTGATCATTCCCTCCCCTCCGTATCCTTCCAGCATCTCCATCGCCAGCCAAGCAACGAGCAAAAATGGACGACATTGTGGTGGTAGCCCCGGGAACGCAATCCTCACGGAATGTCAGCAATGATCCAGATGTCATAAAACTGCAGGAAATTCCAACTTTCCAGCCCCTTTTGAAAGGTAAGTGATTGTTCTTCCTCTGTTTTTAAAGGCCTTTTTTGGTACCTAATGAAGTATGTGCTTTGTGTGTCCTGAGGTTCCTACGGAAGTTCACGTTTCTGTCCATATTTTTCACTACCCCTTTGTTTTAAACCTTACTTTCTTTTGTTCTTTCATAATTATTCTCAGCCTTCTAAACAGTGGGTGAACTGGTTTAGAAGTATGCTAGAAATGGTCTCTGCAGCGGAACCATCTACTGTGGAGACAGTACAGCTCCAAGCATGCCAGCTTGCCCTGTACCGCTGGTTGATGAGAGGTGCCGTGTTACATTCTAATGCATAATGGACCGCAGTCTCCAGTTTTGCTCTAGGCTCTTAAAAACATCTGTGCGTTACTCTCTCGGAGTCATAGCTACCTGTGTGTGGATTCAGTTGCTTGAAATCAAGATATCTTGTGGGGATTTCCAACCTAGAGCAGATTTTGTTCTCGTTTTTGGGGGTGGATGGGGGGGAGCGTGGACTGAGGCTTGCATGGGTCCTTAAGCCCTGTGTTGACAAAATCCCTTTATATCAGTGGACTTACTAAATTCCCACTGTGTCTGTCTGTTTCTTTTCCTCCCAGTCTTTTTTTTTTTTCTTTCTTCCCCTGCACCCATTCTTTGTTCCTTCTATTCTGTTCAAAGGGAAGTGAAGATTCAAATCATATTTGTCAAACATACAGTTTACCAAAAACTGTTTGTGGTTTTTGTAGCCTGGCTTCTAGCTACCTCTTTTTCTGGACACTGTGCAGTGTCCTTGGTATCTGAAAGTCCCTTAGGAAGGAAGATGTTTGGAGCATCCTTCATGAATGGATTTGGTAAAAGCAGCCTGCTCCTGGGTTCCTCTTTCTGGAACAGTGTGGGTCAGCAAACTTGTGTGAATGTGCTGTGTAGTGGACACTCAGTAAGCCAATGTTTTCTTGAAAATTTCGTGGCCTACTGTGCATGTGTACATTGGCTGCAGCACTTGCTCATGTCTTGTAGACCTGCTATGACAGAGAGGAAGGAGCTGGGATATTTAGCCCTCTCTGCTACTGGAAGAAATGGTGTAGTCTTGTACAGCTGAGAGCTTAGGCACTGCTGGTCTGAGTGTCACTGATTCATGCATGGCTGCTGGGAAGATATGGCAGCCACTTTGCCTTGCAGGCATCACTAGAGGTGATGTAACATCACTTTTAGTGTGCGCATTTTTCCTTTTTTTTTTTTTTTTTTTTTTTTTTTGTCTGTGTCTACTGCATGAGGACTCTGGAACATGTGGAACCACTAGAACTTGGGGACACTATGATAGCCCAATGTGCCAAATATTTGGCATTTTATTGGGTACTACTGGTTGGGGTCTAGATGCGTGCAGCACTGACTGCTGTTTCCAGCAGAAGGGACAGAAAGATAGGGAGGCCACTAAACTGGAGAAGAGCAAACATGGATATTTTTGGGGCTGGTACTGCAGTCCCTCTTGACCAAGGAGAGTGTGTGTGTGTGTGTGTTAGTTATACTATATATTTTTTTTTTTAAACTTTACAGAGGGTGATGTAGAAACCTGTATTTGATTTATTCCAGACACTTTCACTGCCATTTTAGAATGGACTGTAAGATTGCTGATGTTGGTGCAGTGTTCGTGTCAGCAGCAGGCTGGGTCATTACCTTTGGACAGAACATGCTTTGCCTGAGTCCTGCCTTGTACAAAAGGAAGAATCAGGATCTCGCCAGTGGCTGTTCGGAATGTAAATGCTGGAACCCAAATCCACAAAAGAAATAAGGAAGTTTTAATCTGAGAGACCAAATTAGAAGATACATTAACATCTGGCACCGAGGTGGTTGTGCATGTATAAGAGCGCAATGACGAAGAGTTTCAGTTCCACCCAGCCTCAAACAGTGGTGGGCAAACCTGGGTTGCATAAGAGCTGCGGAAGTCCTGGGAAGCGGGACTGATGATCGCTTCCAGAGGCAGTGTTCCTGTATGGGTGGTTAGGGAGCAAGGACACAGGGCTTGAGGTGGGAAGTGAGAAAGAGGAGACAGCAACAGCCATGTGGCTGAGACAGAAAGGTTAGAAAGCACTGCCTTAGATGTCCAGTCCAGGTCATAGAATCATAGAATAGAATAGTTTGGGTTGGAAGGGACCTCTAAAGGTCGTCTAGTCCAACCCCCCTGCCACGGGCAGGGACATCTTCAACTAAATCAGGTTGCTCAGAGCCCCAGCCAACCTGACCTTGAATGTTTCCAGGGATGGGGCAGCCACCACCTCTCTGGGCAACCTGTGCCAGTGTTTCACCACCCTCGGCGTAAAAAAATGTCTTCCTTCTATCTAGTCTAAATCTACCCCCCTTTAGTTTAAAGCCATTCCCCCTTGTCCTGTCGCAACAGGCCCTGCTAAGAAGTTTGCCACCATCTTTTTTATAAGCCCCCTGTAAGTACTGATAGGCTGCAAGAAGGTCTCCCCAAAGCCCTCTCTTCTCCAGGCTGAACAAGCCCAACTCTCTCAGCCTTTCTTCACAGGAGAGGTGTTCCATCCCCCTGATCATTTTCATGGCCCTCCTCTGGACCTGCTCGAGCAGGTCCGTGTCTTTCTTATGCTGAGGGCTCCAGAGCTGGACGCAGTACTCCAGGTGGGGTCTCACCAGAGCAGAGTAGAGGGGCAGAATCACCTCCCTCGACCTGCTGGCCACGCTGCTTTTGATGCAGCCCAGGATA